CAATATTTTGCATAAACATGCAAAAGCAATGTGTCTATGATTATGTTGACCCTTTTTACACCAAACAAAGATGTATTTGGGCATACAACAATATAATTGTGCCCATCCTAGATGAGACTCCGTGGCCCTCTATATAGCAGTAGATTCCTATTACCCAACCCTCCATTAGGCCACAACTAGGAAGGCTAAGGATATTAAGGAGTGAGTGACTAGGAGAGGCAAGTATGACATGTACTAGATGTGGGTAGTTGGGACATAATAGGAGGGGGTCCAAGGTCCGATGAGGCCATTATTGCAACTTTCACCACCCCCATTGCCAAATACAGTTGTTGAAATTTATTCTCAAGTTGAGTGACTATTATTCTCTTTGTATAAGTTTGTTTGTTTATTGCATTGTCTACATACATTAACTGATTTGAGTATATGAGCATTGTCTATAAGAGAGTTTTAACATGGATGTTGGTCCTTCTACACATTAATTTATCTGCATGGATCTGAATGGTAACATATTTATCCATTATTCTTGTTTGAAGCTAAGGGACAAGACTGGAACTCCAAACCTTTGATGGACATCCAAACTAGTTGAAACTAACAAGAGGGGAATTTTTTATGGGTTATTCATCCCTCTAACAGTTTATTACAACCAATTGCATAAGATGCACTAAGTACTTACCCCATTTTTAGACTGGATAGAAAAACTCATGAAGTGATTTAAATGGTTAGCAAACCAATATTCCTAATTTTCACACAAATATGAAAACAATGAATTCCTCAATACTAGCAGAGATTATACCAAAACAAAACATTTATTTGGCTAAGGTCAATATTCATGAGAAGTAGACTTAATACTAGTGTAACATAAAACATCATAAATCATACAGCCAGCAAACTACCCACCACACCCTGCAAATTTTGAAACTCGTCAAAACTGTAGAACTAGTGACTCCAGCTCCACAAGTTTCTAGATTTCACTTCACCTCATTTTAAAGCCAAAGGATACAACCTAGAATCTTGCAAATTAGGGTGCCAATTCCCATTTCTGATTCTGTTTATGCCTTGCCTAGAAACTGCCTTCAAGAAACCGATAACCAGACCCCTGACCGGTTTGGTCACCGGTTTATTTTTAAAAACCATGGTACGGAGATATGAACAAGGTTGTAATAAGAAGATATGTACGATATAGGAGCTATATACAGGGAGTTATCAAGACTAGAGACGTGTGTTAGTAAGATTCTTAGCCTTATCATCGAGATTCTTATTTCTATCAACATCCTTTTTGCTCAAAATAAAAAGTTACTTAGCTGCAATTTTGATGTTTATGTAATCAGGATGATTTTAGAATGAAATTAAAACAAGTTAAATAGAGATATGTTGGTTATGAAAATATTCATTTAGGTCATTTGGAAATTGTTTTCGAGGCCTTGAGTCCCACTGAATCTAAGGAACAAAAACCCTCCACCCCAACAGTCACTGTAGCCTTCATGAAAACTCTATACTAATAAAAGTGCATTTCACTAAAAGGATATATAGGTGACATAAACAATGTACATCCCACAATCCCCTTCCACCACTACCACCATATATAATTCTTCTATTGTGATAGAAGAATTTATGGAGAAGGGTTTTTGTTGGTCATTTGATAGTTAGGACAAAGCTTAATTGAACGAAGAATAAAAATAAGAAAGCCTATAGACTTAAGTAAAGAGGTGTTTGATCAGTCATTATCCTCACATGGCTTGGATGAATATTGGAGGTAGTTTGTAGTTAGAACATCTAATAATTAAATTGGATCTGCAAACTTAAGTTAGAACATCAGAATATTGAAACGTTTTGATCAGTCTTTATCCTCAAATGGCATGGAATAGAATGGCAAGACATTCCCATATTAGGATCTAAACTGATCAGTCATTATCATCTGTTTGATGTTCTAGATTTCAGCATTCAGCATGATCACTCATTATTATACAGTTTGGTTTATTAGCATGTAAACTTAGTAAATGCAGTTCTATAGTTTTGTGTTTAATTGTATTATGTAGGGGTCTAATGGCTGGAACTTGGATGCCAAGAACTTCTCAACATGGATTGGAGTGGAACATTGCAATTGGAACTTTTCATTCTTTCAAATTCAAGATGGATGAAGGGGGGAGGGGGTTTTGGTTTCCTTTTGACATTATAATGATGGGAGGAATTCTGATATTGGTCCTTTTTTTTGTGAGTGGATATGAACATTGTATTTTGTTGATATGAACATTAATGGGGAAGAACTATGTTTTGGAAACACATGCATTGTATAGGGCATATGTATTATTTGGAAACACATGCATTGAACAGTGATGTAAGTGTCAATATTTTGTACCTGCTACATAGAAACTGTAATCAACAAGGGATGTTGAAAAGGAAGAAATGCAAACCAAATTTCTCTTTATTCAACACAATGATGTTGTGATGTGTTGAGTGTGATACCACATTGTGTTGAATGTGATGATGTCCATTTTATGAGCAAGATACAACCCCACCATGGCCATGAAAAATTTGTAACTTGTAAGCAGGTTCTTGAACAACATATTGAATAGACTCTTGAACTGATTCATGAGTAGGTTTTTTTTTAACATATTAATTCTTCTAGCCTTCAACAACATATTCATGTGTTCATGTAAATCCTCTACATCATTTTAGTGAACTTATTGATGTGTTAATGTACTCTTTCATGAAAACATGAATAAATTTGTTCGAGAACAAATATGTCCATGAATTAGTGCATTGATTTATTAATGAATAAATCTGTACAGGCATAATGGATCTAACCAGGTTTTGTTGAATGATTGCTCTTCACTTATATGAATCTGACTAGGTCTTTTGTTGAATAAATACCATTCACTTATACCTGAATTTTTCCATGAACAGAGTACCCTTTAAAAGTGTGAACTCTCCATACAAGGGAAATTACAGTCTCTATACAAGGTGATTATTTCAGTTCAATCACTTCAGTTCAGGTGGATTATTTCATACATATTTAGGAAAATCAAACCTTGGCCTCCATCATAGTCTCTCATATCCCTTCGGATTGTACCACTTCAATGGGAAAATGGTGTTTGGAATTACCAAGCCTGTAATCCCTTCCCTGGGGTCTGTAGTTGGGGATGGGAAAATTGAGTTCAATGAGTCTTTCACGTTTTCTGTTACTCTTTCAAAAGAACTGCTTGGAATTCAACTTGTATGAGCCTCAGAGCTAGAGTGCGATTATAGTGAAATGTCTACCCTTGGGAACTATCATTTTAGACCTAGCATAGTATGGGGTTGTTCAAGAAACTATATGCACAAGTGCTCCAAGGAGCTGGCATGATTTGAATTCTTATCATAATCAACAAAATACCATGATATAATCACTAGAAACCCCTAACATATACAAATATATAAACAACAAAAAGCAAACACTTGACATGCTCAGAAAACAACTAGCAAATACATAAACCTATACTCTAATTCTTCTACATGTATATGCCAAAGAACACAACAATGAACACAATGATTAAAAATGTCATGGTCTTCAATCCTTCAATAACTACTTGTTGGGAGAACTCTAAAGCCTTCAAACGATAGTCTAATTTATCTACCAATTTCTGATAGGGTCGCCTATATGAATCATTGAGCTACCTTCAATAAAATAATTTGTTAGAACTGCCCCTCAATATAAATTTGCATGGAAGAGGTATGCTTCCCTAAATACAACCAAATGCATTGCAGGTCAGCATCCTTCACTACTTGTTAACCATAAATACTAAGTTGGCACATTTTGAAAGTTTAGGTACTGGATTAGTAGGAAATCAAAGTACAAGGTACTAACTTGCAATTTTCCCATTATTTAATTACTCTATTTACTTACGCTAATTTACTTAATTAATTAGTTAATTCATTTAATTACAGGTATTAAACTTATCGTTGACCTAGGTGGTTTAATGGTTTGACCTAGGTATAGATCAACTATCTAATTCCACATTATACTTAGCTCAAAATTTTCCAAAAAAATAAAATTTCATTGACTTGGTCAGCAAATCATTGACCCAGGTGATTAAACTGCTAAACTCCTAGTGAATGCTTTTTGGGGCTTTTATTTTAATTTTTTTTTTAAATGTAATGGGATGATCTGTTTGGACCGGACGATTGAACCTTTGGACCGAAAACTGATGCCAAAAGTGGTTCTATTTTTAGGTTGATTTTTTAAACCATCACTTAATTGGCTTAATTTATTTATTTAATTAATTTAGTTTAAATATTTATTTAAACTACTTATTCGTTGTTTAATTTACAAAATTGGTTAATTTACTTAATTAACTTTATACCATCATAGACTTTGAAGTAATTTACTTAATTAATTTTATTAAAATATATTTTCAAACTTAAGCAATACCAAATAAATATATAGTTTTATTATTTTATTCTTTGTCTCTAACATCGTCAGTTTAAGGGTTGTTGGGGCCAAAAATAATTGACGCAATATCATTTATATATATATATATATATATATTTATATATATATATATATATTGTTGAGCTCATGTTGGTATGAATCCAAGGTATGAATCAGTAGTCAACCCTAACCCATTCCAAGTTTGACATAAACTGTACGTACGCTAACCCGATTTATGGTTAGAACATACAATGCACTACTAATTACTGGATGATTTCAAGCTTTTATTCCCAATTAAAAGAAATTAATTAAAGAAGATATTTTTCAATGATGGACTGGACGAGAATTAAAATCTGAATTACGACTGGAAAATGAGTTCAGCCAAAACAAATTTCATTAAGCCGCGCGGGTATTGGCATGGGCGTGGCACAAACGAAGTGATCAAAGAAGAGTTACAGATAACTTGAGAAGAACTATATTTTAGTGATTCGCCAAAAAGAAAAGAAATAGAACAACATCAATGTCTGTACGTTCCAGAAAATTACTTGCATCCGACAGAAATTTATTATCGTTTATTTATTTATTTATTATAGTGCTATTATTCCTGTTACTGAAATCTGACTCGTCTCCAGGCAGTGATTGCAGGTGTCTTCTTTCTCTGCATGCCGACTGGTTTAGTTGCACTTGTTCGGGAGTGGTGGGCCGCACAAACAGCGATTGTGGGCAAAGGATTTGGCACCCATCTTCTGCACATTCCCACCGAACGGAATCTTTCCGCAGAGCTGATTATAACTCAAATCCATGCTTTCCAAATCCAACTTAATCACCTGCTTCGGAATGTTGCCGTGAATCTGGTTGTGGGACAAATCTAAAACTTTTAACTTCTTTGGAAACTTCACCTTCGTCAGATCAAAGTCGAGTTGGTTGTGAGATAAGTAGATCCATTCCTCTGCTCCATTCTCCCTCAGCAACATTGATGCGTCCCCATTGAGTTTGTTATGCGACAGGTCGATGCTTGAGACATTAATCGATGTTGGGATTCCACCGGAGAGCTGGTTGTGAGATAGATCGAGAGAGAAAATGCTGTATTCGCCGTCTTTGAAACTCCCAAATGAGTCGGGTATGCTTCCACTGAGTTTGTTCGAAAGGAGGTCAAGACTTTGCAGTTTGTTAAGATTTGCAAGAGAAGCTGGGATTGGACCAGAAAGTTGGTTGTAGCCCAGATAGAGATATCTGAGATTTTTGAGTTGGCTTAGAAATTCAGGGATAGGACCGGAGAGGCTGGTGTTCCATATGCGGAGTATTTCGAGGTTCTGAAGTTTTGTGATGGAGTAGGGGATAGAACCAGTGAAAATGGGGATATCATTGAAGTCGAGAGTGTTCAGGTACGGGAGGTCACTGACGGCCTCCGGGATTTGGAAAGGAGTGTGAATGTTGTAGAAGAGGAGTTGGGTGACACGGTCTGAAGGGTCGCATCCGACGTAGTTCCAGCTACAGCAATCAGTGCTGGGATTCCAGGAGTCAAAGTAATGAGGGATTTGTAGAGATTTCTTGATTTTCCAGAGGACTCTTTTGTCAGATGCATGGCAGCGGAAAGGATAAGCAGAGAGCGTAAGAGATGGCAGAGAACAGGAAGCGAGGAGGAAGAGAAGGAGAACAGAGAGCAAAGGAGTATCCATTTCTCTGTTTGAGATGAGTTTTAGGACCAAAAAAATATGATGTGTATATATAGATGGAGATTGTGGGCATTCGGGATTTTCTACTGACTTTTGCTATCCACTCTCTACCCGCAGAAAGAGTTTGTAGGAAATCTGGGCTCGATTGTGGGCTATGTATCGCTATCAGAGCATAGTTTGAGAAATCAACGAAGATGAACTCCACGTCACTTGATCATTTAATGATTAATCCCTTATTTGGAAAGCCGTGGTCATGGTCAATTTCCAGCATCATTGATATTCCAATAATACCCATGGTTTATATAGTATTAATGCCCTACTTCACAAATTGTTTGTTTGTTGGTATAATTGTTTCTTTTCTTAGATGTAAAGATAGACATGGACAAGATGTTGCCACTTCTGGCTCAATAAATGTAACGCAAGTGTTTATTTTTTTTATTGTGTTTGGAACGGTGGGCGTTTCTCAATAAATACTCCCATGCACGTAGGTGTCATATAGGCGTTTGGCCTAATCGTTGTCTGGTGTGATTATTTATTGAGGTTCTATTTGGTATATCTTTTTGTGCAGTTTTTTGGTTGTTTATAAGTTAGGAAGACCGATTTTCGGTTTATTTCCGTTTGGTTCACGGAAGATCTAGCCGTTAAAAGATGATGTGTTGAAAAAACGCAAGAAATCTATTTCGAACTGATGTCGGGAAGTTTCAAAAAAAGCTTCCCGTGTCTTTCACGTTTTAATCTCATGCGAAAAGACGTGAGCAAATGTACGTAAAGACACACGTTTGCCAAACTGTCTTCGGACTGCCCAAATCTTATGTCAAAAGCTCAATGCGTCTTTTAGATGTAAGAAATTGTTTGTTGCTATAATTGTTTCTTTTCTAAGGCGAAAAGATGATGATGTAACCGGTTCTGGTCACGTACCAATTTTTTTTTTTTTGTGATGTATCAATTTTTGGCTAAGTACTTCATCATTTGACCTGCTCCCAGGTGGCCTGTAACTCAGAGGATGATGGAGCTCCCTGGTGGTGAATTGCCTGGTGGTGAGTTACTTGATGGCGAACTCCCTGGTGGTGAGCTACTTGTTGATGAGCTCCCTGGTGGTGAGCTACCTGGTGAGCTATTTGGTGACAAGCTCCTTGGTGGTGAGCTACTTGTGACGAGCTCCCTGGTGGTGAGCTACTTGTGACGAGCTCCCTGGTGGTGAGATACCTTGATGAACTGCTGGGTGCGCTGCCTTGGTGGCGAGCCTCCTAGTGTAGTCCAACTTGACTGCCCTCTACATGAGATGATCTGCTCTTCTTTGTGGATGGCGGGAGCAGAGGAACCTGCGAGAACTGAATCAGAAGATCCGAGGGTGTTTACCCGGCGGGGCCACTCTAATGGCTAAGTTAGCGCTCTGATAGTAGAGAGTTTGAAGATGATATTAGAGAAATGAGAGAGCTAGAGAGCAGGGGTTACCTCCATTTTTCATCCCCCCTTCCCCTCTAGGGGGTTGGAGCTCTTATATATCGGTGTCCTGACAGATCTGGCGTAATTGCCTCTGACTCTTTGTTGCAACCGTTACTTGCCAGGGCTGAGCTGGTGGGCGCAGGTAACCGTTGCAGGGTACAGTCGTGTCAGACATGAGGCGTTGTCAGAGTTGGCAGGCACAACGCCGCCTGGCCAGAGATGTGGGTACAGTCTCCAGATCTGGCAGGTACGATTGTCAGGTAGGAAATCTTCTTGTGATACGCCGAGCTACTCTGCAACGAGCTACCTTGCACCGAGCTACTTTTTACCGAGCTACTTTTCACCGAGCTGTTGGTAATGTGCCGAGGTGCTTCCACCCGAGGCAGGTCTTCGTGGCCTACTAGGAGGCGAGCTCTTCGTAAGATGTCGGGTTGCCTGTGGCGAGATGCCTGTAAGTGGCCAACTGCTTGTGGCGAGCTATGCCGAGCTGCCTGTAGCTAGATTGAGTTGTCTAGTTATCAAAAGGCTGCACTTAGTTGACATGAGATACTAGGTGTCACAATTTCACCGGAGGGCCAAATCCGCCCTCATTAGATGACATAGTCACATGGACAAGATGTTGCTACTTCTAGCTCAATCAAGTGTAACGCAAGTGTCTGTTTTTGGCTGTATTTGAAACTGTGGGCATTTCTCAATAAACGCTGCCACTTAAGTGCTACATAGGCGTTTAGCGCGATAAACGTTTATTAGAGGTCAATCGGCTGTTTAGTGCGACCGTTTATGGAGAAAACACCGATAAACAGAAATAGATGGATTTTCGTGCAATGAGCTGTCGGGGGAAGTGAAAAATTCTAACGAAATGCACATTTGACGTGGTGTGTGCATGGACGGTGATGTGGTGATTGAGGCAAAGATATCTCGAAGATCACTGAAATTGCGAAGAAAACCCCCATGACCCAAACCCTTACCACTGTGCGAGATGGACTTTTCGCAAGGATAGCTGCAGAGAGGGATAGCCGCAGAGAGGGGCTTGCGCAGGGAGATTTGCTTTTCACGCTGACCAGAGAGGCTGCGCCGCCGGTAAGATTGCCGTTGACCGATACAAAATCCATCACCTCGACGTTGGCCATATGTTTCATACTAACCACTGCGATTTTTTTTTGTCTGGCAGCCCTAATCCGGCAAGGTCTTGTTGTTGCGTACACTGATTTCTGTTTATTTCCCGATCTGAACGATATGTCATTACCTACCCCTTCCTCTGAAAGTCGATCACCCGGTGAACTGTCCTTTGCTTCAAAACAATGTTAACTCTGTCGTTCTCATATGGCACTCAAAAATCAAGGAAAAGTGCCACACCCAATCACCCATATGGCCCACTCCTTGAAGCACCCTTCCAAACAGCACAAGCTATGAAGCATTTCTCATCGCTGAGTTGGCAAGTGCATTTAAATGCCATTTCTTGAAACGCCCACAAATTAACCCAATTAAATTATGAAAAGAAAAACGTTTAAAGTGGAATTTATTAGATAAACATTTATCTGATAAACACCCCTAAGAAATTCCAATGAAATTAAATATATAATTTATGCCTTTATCTATTTATTATTATTATTATTATTATTATTATTATTAATCAGATTAATATTCCGTATTATTATAATAATCTTTCGCTGAAGTCCCCATCAAAATCTTATGGAGAAGCAACCTGAACCTCCATGGAGCTTGTGTACATATCTTTGCAAATTGCAAGGGTTTATTATCGTAACTGAACAGCCACTCGGTTCTATAGTATAGACATGGAGGTTTTGTAACATGCATTGCTGCCCAAAAAGTAGTTAGCATTTGCTTTTACTTTCATGTTTTTAAAAATTGAATCCATTTAGCAACTGGTTTTTGAGTTAGCGCTATATTCGATCTGAGTCGAGCCAAATACTTAGTTGTTCGAGCTTGGCTCACTAAGGCAATACGAGGCTCAATCTCAAGTTCGAGTTCAAACTCAGTTCTAGTCAAAAGCTTATAAGTTTGAGTTCGATTTGGTTCAAGCTCAACTTGAGAAAAATGTTTCATAAAAATAAAAAAAATATTATATATAAACAAATATTTTTATTTGATATTTAAAAGTTAAGAATTATAATAATTCGTTATTATTATATATAAAAATAAAAATATTATATATAATTTTTTTATAATATATATTATTTTTTATAATTTTATATTATTATTATTATTATTATTATTATTATATAGCTATTCGAGCTCGGCTCAAAACTCGATTGAAACTGAGTCGAGCTGAACTTCTCATGAGCCAAGCTCAAATAGTTCATGAAAAGCTTGGCTCGTAGCCACCCTTAATTAGCAAACCATGAATTGTAGCCCGAGTTGAACAGTTTAGTGGTAGAGTGTAAAACCTCGTGTTTTGTATTATTTTGTATGTATTTGCACAGTACATATTTGTATTCGTATTCCTTCCAAACTGTGCCTAATTAGCAATTGAGATTCAAAATTGTACCTATATACAATTTTGTTGAGATTCAAAATGTATTTGTTATATTTAATTTGAGATTCTTATTTAATTAAAAAATTAATCAAGTGTCTAGAAAGCCATTTTGGTTTGAAGGAGAACCATTTTATTGTTTTTAATGGATCCCATGCTTTATATATATATATATATATATAAATTGACTTGAATGTAAATATTAATGTGTCTAAGCTACAGAACTTTTATTTAAGAAAGTTCAGGAATAGAACGACCCACTTCTAGGATATTAAACGAAACAATAGGTTGCCATGTGTTTGAAGGAGAAGCTTTCTAGTGAAAGGCCCGGTAAAAAAGTATGGAGAAATTAATTGTTATGTATGAAACTTTACTAATTTTACTGAAAAATAATTTTTAGTTATTTATTCATAAAACAAATTATAATATTATTTAGTAATTTACGTTTTGTTTAATCATTTCATGAATTTTTTATTAATTTTTAAATCAATTTGAATTGGTATTTATCATCAATATTTATTAATGGAAAACATTTTTTTAAATGTTATTTATCATTAATATTAATTAATTTTAAACCTTTGAAGTTTTATTAAATTTTTTAATCAATTTATCAATTTTTTTTAGACAAATTTCTTAAAATAAACCTATGATTTTAAAATTCCTAAAATACCCTTTTAAGGTTATGGAGTCAAACTGTAAACCACAAGGATGATTGCTTC